AGGAAGAAAACAACTTGTATGTGGGGATTCAGGTTTAGAGCTTTTTAGCGTATGTTTAAACAAGAAATACTTTTGAAAAAGCTGGCATTTCGCATAGTTTGTGTATGCAAAGTTTTAATGAGCTTGAAGATATTGTTTTAATGTGGTAAAAGGTAGAAAAGTCTACCTCTACTTGCATCATGAAAACTGTATCACCTTGATGGTAGTTTGCTGATAATGTTATTTTTGTTAGTTAGTTGTAAAACCAATACATAAACTAAGCACTACATTCGTCTCTACATGATTCGTATGCCACATATGCTATATTCTATAGATTATTAAAAGAGTGTTACCCCGCCTCAATGACACAGCTCGACATCCCTGAAAGAATATTGAAGCCTACCGGCCAAGATTACCTACCTGTCACTGGGACTGCCGGATGGGACTCAGGGCTGAACAGTCCTTAGCACTAAGTTTGGAATAAAAACGTTTTAAATGAAAAAAAAAATGAATAAAAAATGGGTAAAAACAAGAAAAAGTAAACATTTACTTTATCTACATAGCACAAATATCTAACTATCAAGTAAAAAAATATGTTTTTAAAAATCCCTGGACTTAAACCCCTGACCTCCTAACTTTGTGAGTGGAAAATGTTAAGTCGCTTACCAATTGAGCCAAGTTTAGATGCACGAGGAATCATAGACTATAAATCAGCTTTAGTACAATGTAAATTGCCATTGCTACAGTAAAACAGGTGCATGACTATTCGCTCTTGCTCTGCATACTATTGCTATGAGTCACCAGGTCCAGGGACACAACATTGTGTACAGATTTTGTCGGAAAATGCCCCCCCCCCCTTAAAAAAACAATTCAAACTATTCTAAAAGCATGAATAGCATGAAAAGCTCTTTATTCACAACCATTTATTTTTCACGAGCCGACGTTTCGATGACCGTCTGTCATCTTCATCAGGCAAATTCTGACTGGTTTACTGTGCACCGACGATAGATGTTACTTGGTGCATAGTGCACTAAAGGTGATACATCCTTCACAGTGCACTTAAGCTAGTTTTGACTGTCTGTCACTACGGCATTCTTTCGTAAAGGTATCGGGTTACAAGACGCTATTTTGGCCTGTTTTGGACTCCACATAAAACACTTGAAAATAAACAAAAATAATTTAATGGTAAATTTCGTCAAATTAAAATGAAATTATCGTCTTAACATCCTTTTAATATTAGTTGTTTATTTATGTTAAATCATTGATTTTTCAAAATTTCGCTAGGAAAGACGATTATTTTCGGGTATCCAAGCACAAGTCATGTCATGTTTTTAGGCAAACATCGTTTAAACCTGGCTACAGATATTAACCCAGATCCTCGATTTTTATATTTTTCGCTGACTAGGGATAAGATAAAAATCGTGTTTTATGGATTTTTCAATTTCTGATTTGAAGTCTAGTTTTTGTCGACATATTGGTGAAAAGATTGTATTTTTTGACATTTTTCTCACTTAATTACCCATAATTCAAAATTGAGGCAATTTTAAAAAATCCCTAAAACACGATCTTCGGGACAACCGTGACAGTCATTTTGAGCCGTAAATGGGGTATGCTTGACTCTCCAGGTTTCCAGGTTTGAACGAGTTTTGCAGACATGCCATATCGCCAGAAAGTGTGCATTGTGTTATTCATACAGGCGTAAAGAATCATTACAGTATTCAAGGTCACCCAAGGATACGACAGTAGCTTCGCTACATGTTACATACCCACCAAAAATTATAGCGGACATGTACTGTCCAGGAAACTGATTGTATCTATAGAAAAGTGTTGTTTTTTATCTGTTGCGAAGCACTCAGGCAGAAGGGCTTGTTTTGCCGCTTTGTTGTAAATGACCGCGGGTGACCCCGAAATGGAACGCGGGTTCGATTCGAATCGCCGAGATCGAACACGATCGAACACAGTTCGGGTTCTATGAAATGTGGGAACTTTGCAGCCCAGATTTTACCACCGTGGAACTGCTGTGTCTTTGGCATCGCTGCGCAACCAGGTGAGTAAATGCAACAATAATGTATTTTTTTAATAAACGGACTTCCAGTTTTTTCTACGAAGAAAGCGTTTGCTTGTTTTGTTTCAGTAAGCTAGTGTGGTTGTGCAGATCCCGATGACTTGGCGTCATACATATGTTTACCCAACATTT